TTACAACGTTTTTGCCTTCTTCGTATCCATATGAGATTATTATGTACACTATTTACATTAACTATTGTCCTCATCTTTGTCGCAACGTTTTGCCGTTTTACGCTCCGGCCTTCTTCAGTATCTGCCTATATTTTTGAGATAAGGTATTATGAACACTATTTACATTATTCAGACTATTGTTCTCATCTTTGTCGCCATATTTATTACAACGTTTCTGCCGTTTTACGCTCCGGCCTTCTTCAGTATATGTCTATATTTCTGAGATGATGTATTATGAAAACTATTTACATTATTCGGACTATTGTCCTCATCTTTGTCGCCATATTTATTACAACGTTTCGGCCGTTGTACGCGCCGGCCTTCTTCAGTATCTGTCTATATTTCTGAGATGATGTATTATGTACACTATTTACATTATTCTGACTATTGTCCTCATCTTTGTCGCCATATTTATTACAACGTTTCGGCCGTTGTACGCTCCGGCCTTCTTCAGTATCTGTCTATATTTCTGAGATGAGGTATTATGAACACTATTTACATTATTCAGACTATTGTCCTCATCTTTGTCGCCATATTTATTACAACGTTTCTGCCGTTTCACGCTCCGGCCTTCTTCAGTATCTGTCTATATTTCTGAGATGAGGTATTATGTACACTATTTACATTATTCTGACTATTGTCCTCATCTTTGTCGCCATATTTATTACAACGTTTCTGCCGTTTTACGCTCCGGCCTTCTTCAGTATCTGTCTATATTTCTGAGATGATGTATTATGAAAACTATTTACATTATTCGGACTATTGTCCTCATCTTTGTCGCCATATTTATTACAACGTTTCTGCCGTTTTACGCTGCGGCCTTCTTCAGTATATGTCTATATTTCTGAGATGAGGTATTATGTACACTATTTACATTATTCCGACTATTGTCCTTATCTTTGTCGCCATATTTATTACAACGTTTCGGAGTATTACCTTCATCTTGAGGACACATGGCACAGTGGATAAAGGCGTTGGCTAGATCCAGTGACAGGACCCAAAGAGTGTGAGTTCAATACCTGGTTAAGGCGGTGGGGAACTTGGAGAAGGGAATTAACTGAAAATAACTGATGACTAACATCCATTAGACATGGCACTAGGACAGTCTACCTCGGAAAGCGAAATAAAGGGTTCAGATCGACATTCCAACCACCTGAAGAAGGCCGGAACGTACAACGGCCGAAACGTTGTGATAAATTTGGCAACAGAGATGAAGACGATATTCCGAACAATGTAAATAGTGCAAATTGTACTCCTGTGACTCTGTCGATTAGATACAATAATAACGTCACATCCCTTCATCTCAAGGCATCATGGATCTCCACAAATTACTTTCCCTGATTTTCTTTGAATATTGCTTCCACATCTAGTTTGGTGTTCCCGCTATATATTTAGAGATTCTTGATTAATTCCAAAGAAGAATCTACAATGTTATTGGTAATGAACTGGCATCTCGGCTTCAGTAACTTTCACACCGAAGCAACGTGGCTTCCCTGTGTCTTTTCTATAAATACTTTCATGGTAACAGTCCGGACAAACTTTCATCTAGACTTTATGTACTTAAGTCACGGTACGAGATTGACTGCAAAGGCTTATCATCTTTCAGTTGAAATGCCTAGATTTAGCCGTAAGTTCTATGCTAACAGTTTCTTCTCTCTTACTTCTCGATTGTGGAACTCTCTTTCAGCATCTTGCTCTCCAGTCAAATTTGACCTTCAAAAATTTAAATGCAATATCAATTGTTATCTCCTCTCTTCATAAAACTTGTTCTTTTATTGTTCACACATCTTAATAGCATTTTTTTCATATCTTCTTACACCTGGTAACTCCTTGCATCTCAATGGCATTATTGCCTTGCTTGTGGTGAAGTGATTTTAAAAATATATAGTAAATTGTCATATTTCTCGGAAAATATAAACGACTAGATTCTCTGTGTTTTAGAATTCAAATTAGTCCTTCTCCAGCCAAGACTAAGGAGCAAAGTCGACTGGAATATTTAGTACACGGCTGGCGAGGTGGGGAGGGGAGAAGATGTGAATTCTTGACTTTCCCAAGAGCATTAGTGCAAAATGATCCCAACAGATGAAGCTGGAATTTGATCTGGACGTTATTCTGTTAATTTATATAGCCATTTGATGAGAGGGGGAAATTAAAAAAATATTCTATTGAACATTTTCTTTCTTTCTCATTTTATCGATATAAATACCTATCTCTTTCTTTCTTTCTTTATTTCTTTCTATCTATCTATCTATCTATCTATCTATCTATCTATCTATCTTTCTGTCTATATATCTTAGTCTATACATATCAATATACAGTTGATATATATCTATCTATTTATACATATGTATGCACATATCAATCGACCAGTTTCTTTCTGTTTTTCGCATTTTATCTATCTAAATACCAATCTCGTTCCTCCTATCTATCTATCTATCTATCTATCTATCTATCTATCTATCTATCTATCTATCTATCTCATTCTGTTTCAAATCTATCTATCTCATTCTGTTCAAATATCTATTCTGTATCTATCTATCTATCTATCTATCTATCTATCTATCTATCTCATTCTGTTTCTATCTATCTCATTCTGTTCATATCTATCTATCTCATTCTGTTCTATCTATCTATCTATCTATATCTATCTATTCTGTTTCTATCTATCTATCTATCTATCTATCTATCTCATTCTGTTCCAAATCTATCTATCTATCTATCTATCTATCTATCTATCTATCTCATTCTGTTCCAAATCTATCTATCTATCTATCTATCTATCTATCTCATTCTGTTCCAAATCTATCTATCTATTCTGTTCCATATCTATCTATCTATCTCATTCTGTTCCAAATCTATCTATCTATCTATCTATCTCATTCTGTTCATATCTGTCTATCTCATTCTGTTCATATCTATCTATCTATCTATCTATCTATCTAATTCTGTTCAAATCTATCTATCTATCTATCTATCTATCTATCTCATTCTGTTCATTATCTATCTATCTATCTATCTATCTATCTATATATATATATGTATATATATATATATAAGTGCGTAGGTATGCAGAAAATAGAAAAGAACACTATCTATCTATCTATCTATCTATCTATCTATCTATCTATCTATCTATCTATCTCATTCTGTTCATATCTATCTATCTATCTATCTATCTATCTATCTATCTATCTATCTATCTATCTATCTCATTCTGTTCTATCTATCTATCTATCTATCTATCTATCTATCTATCTATCTCATTCTGTTCATATCTATCTATCTATCTATCTATCTATCTATCTATCTATCTATCTATCTATCTATCTATCTCAGCCTATTCATATCACTAGTCATTCGAAGTTTTGATAAGATTTAAAGAAGAAACTGGCAAGAAAATTCAAAGGAAACCAGAAACCTATGGTCTGAAATGACTTCATGATATTTTCAACTGATCATTTTTGTAAAATGAAGATCAAAAAAAACTATGCTCACATATATTTTACATAGATATTTATTATTATTATTATTATTATTATTATTATTATTATTATTATTATTATTATTATCTGTGTATTCTTTGATCCCTCCGTTGTATCCTGTAAAACCGGGTCCAGACACTGGTCCTATAGGAGAATTGTCTTTTAATTGATAGCACTTAGTATATGCGATGATCCTAGTAGGGCGATCTTCTGAGCAACTTATAATTGATATTACCTGGGATACTGTTAGTAAAAATGCCCATTTCTTTTCTCACGAGGCCCAGAGCTCCGATTACTACTGGTACTGTCTCAATCTTCATTTCCACATCTTGTTAATCTCGATCTCCAGGTCCTTGTATTTCGACAATTTCTCGATAATTTTCATGGAGGCGTTTCTCTCGGATGGTGCTGCTATGTCAATATGCTTTTTAATTATTATTATTATTATTATTATTATTATTATTATTATTATTATTATTATTATTCAAAAAGCCATCTTGCAAACATTTTTTAAAATAAATTTATTTGCAATTATTATTATATTTTAATAATAAATTATCTTCTCCTCTTTCTTTCCGTCTTTCTTTTGTTTATCCAGTGAAACCACGTAGCGTCTCTGATAAGCTATTTCCTTGTTTCCATGCGGTCAAAACGGAATAATCCAACATTCATGAGATATTGCCAGAGCGTAAAGAACCTAGGAACTAACAAAGGAACTAAAGAAGAAAGAGAAAAGCAGACATTATTATTATTATTATAATTATAATTATTATTATTAAATATATTTTTAAAAAACTGCAGAGAGAAAAAATCTCTCTGGCCAGAGGGACCTTTGGGGAGCCAGAACTATTATTATATATATATATATATATATATATATATATATATATATATATATATATATATAGATAGATAGTTAGATAGATAGATAGATAGATAGATAATTTATTAAACAATTATAACGTAAACAAGTCACTAGAAAAATAGCTACTTTGTTTCATCACTTCTGGTGCCTTCTTCAACACGATCACTTGATAAAGCACCAGAGGAGTTGAAACAAAATGGCTATTTTTGTAGTGATTTTATAACATGTTTATGCTATAATTTTTGAATAAACTATGTTTACTCTACTTTGTATTGAACACTCTTTTAAGAATAGTAGTTTTTGGTTATTGGATTTACTCCGTATACACCAATCCTACTCACGTATATATATATATATATATATATATATATATATATATATATATATATATATATATATATATTATAAACGTCAGGGAATTCAATTCGCTATCAAATTTTGACATATAGAATGGTTCGGTGGATTTGTGTAGGAAAAACATCTCTCTTCTTTATTTAATGTTTTCTTTTCTCTCTTTTTTTTGCTATAATTTTCCTTTTTCTTTTCTTTTTCTTTTGAGACGTTCGGTAAGAAATAAATTAATTAAATGATAACACGACCATGTTGTTTTTTTATTATAAGGGCATGTTGGAACGAGACCGGATTTTCCCATAGACACAGTTCGACGCATTTCGTTTGCAATTAGATAGATAGATAGATAGATAGATAGATAGATAGATAGATAGATAGATGCGAATAAGCTGAGAAAGAAAGAAGTTAGTCAATATATATATATGGAGAGATGTGTATAAATATAAATATTTAGAGAGACACAAGCACACACAGATGGAATCAGATAGATAGATAGATAGATAGATAGATAGATAGATAGATAGATAGATAGATAGATAGATAATGAAAGGAACAAGATAGGTATTTACATAGATAAAATGGGAAAGAAAGAAAAAGAAATATATATGTTTAAACAGGTAGATATATCGAATTTCCAAGCGTAGCTTAGATGTGACAGAAGGCCGAATGTATGGGGCTCCCAGTGAGCATCAAACTCACTACTCAGTCGTAATTGTTCTCGCGAGACAAGCTTGCTAAACATTACACTAACTCGGGGTGTCCTTAAGCAGATAGAAATATCTGAAAAGTATATTGATATGAATAGACTGAGATAGATAGATAGATAGATAGATAGATAGATAGATAGATAGATAGATAGATAGATAGATAGATAGATAGATAGATAGATAGATAGATAGATAGATAGATAGATAGATAGATAGAAGGAAGGAAGGAAGGAGATAGGTATTTAGATCGATAAAATGAGAAAGAAAGAAAGGATATGTTCGATTGATTAATGTATACATATGTATAAAGAGATATGAACAGTAAATTGATATGAATTGACTGAGATAGTTAATGAAAGGAATGAGTGAGTTATTTAGATAAACGGATGAAATGAGAAAGAAAGAAAAAATGAAAGATATATAAATACATATACATATACACACACACACACACACACATATATATATATATATATATATATATATATATATATATATATATATATAGGAAGAGATAGAGATTGAGAGAGAGGGGTAGGGAGATAACGAATGGAACAGGTTAAGGCAGGTAATTAATTCACTAAGGAAATTCAATATACCTGAGTGGAAGGGTCAGAGTGAAGTATTGTGCAAGGTCAGCGCTAGTCTCTGTCTGCAAAGACGATTTCAAAACAATAACATCCGCCTAACATCCCAAAGGCAATCAAGAATTGTTTTTACGGGCACCGAGATTTCCGCTCTCTGTTGCCTATGTCTTTCATCCTTGCTCTTTTTGTTGAAAGAATGTGGTGTGCGCGGTACACGCATACGTGCCTATAGGTGTGCGTGTGTATTCAGATCGGTTCATCTATATTGCGTTTTGATCAAAGAAGACGATACAGTTCGTTTTCTGGATGAAGAAGTATCCAACAGGTTCAGCAATAAAATGAAACCAAAGAAAACGTTGGAGTCTATATCTAAAATTATGTGAAACCTGTTACGTCGTCCGTCTTTTACACACGCTAAAATAGCCACACATTGAACGATCGAAACCAAATTTTAGTATCAACTTCAAACAAGGAAGGGGTCACAAAGTGCACTTGGTTTTACTAGGGTGCATAGCTTAGTACAATAAATTTTTATTACTTTTCTCGGAAGAATTAAGTTTTATTATTTAACATAAAATATACGCCCCCTATTTTAAACACAATTTAAAATAACAAATCCCTTTTTAAGAGTTTCCAGTTCGCTCCGCGTTTGCGAGAACTATAAACAATTCATAGGAATTAGGCTCCAGAAAAAATATTTACGCATGGCTAGTTTTACGTTGCATGCTCAAGAGTAAGAAATCCTAAAGATTTATTCTTCGCTGTTAAAAAGGAAACAAAAGAAATTTTCTTAAAAAATATTGTTTACCATGAAGTCCTAAAAAATTAAATTAAATTAAAAAAATTATTACACAGGGTTATTGTCAGAGTATTTTTCCAGAAAAATCAGCTTATTCAATTTTCATCGATTGGTCTGCGAAATTAAACGAAACGTAAAGTTTGCAAATCTCGACAAAAACTGTTAGGGATAACTTCAATAATACTAAATATTGTGAGGATTTTAACAACAACAACAAAAAAAAATCTAGTTACTAGTAATATTAAAAAGAATTTTTAAATTCGCGTTAATATTTTTAGTATTCAAACCAATTTTTCTAAAAAAAAAAAAAAGAAGTAAAAACATTACTTTAGATGTCAATTATTTCTTTTTTGTAAATAATAAATGATCCAATCTAATAACGTATGGAATATATATTTGTGCATAAATCGGCCAAAATCAAACAAGTTCAAAAATTTAAATATCTAGAAAGTATTTTTACAGAGAACGATAGTGCGACCCTGAAATCAGAATGGACATTGGGATAGCCAAATTTGCATTTCAAAAGCAGAGTATAGACAGAGCATTATGAAACGGAAAAAAAATCGTTAAAAACAAAAATATAAAAATAAATATAATAATTCCATCACTCGAAAATTGCTTCGGTATGAAACTCTGAATTGTGCAATTAATATAAGATATTATATATATTTTTAATATATATATATATATATATATATATATATATATATATATATATATATATATTAAATAGCTTTGTTACTTAACATTAGTACTGTTTTTCTTAAACTATAGACTATATGAATTTGTATACGATCGTTCGTTCATATACCTACCTATATATATATATATATATATATATATATATATATATATATATATATATATATATGTATATATATATATATATATATATATATATATATATATTTTATATATATATATATTTATATCATATGTATATATACATATATATATATATATATATATATATATATATATATATATATACAAATATAAGTGAACATAGAAGTCAACACTTAGAGGCCACAGTCTGTTTCATGATATATGCAATCGTCAGGCCACAGACTGTCGCCTCTAAGTGTTGACTTCTATGTTCACTTTTATATTTACACACGCTCTATCTCTGATATTGAGCACTTTATCCCATAAATATAGCACACCTTAAGACTATATTTCTTCATATATATATATATATATATATATATATATATATATATATTAATTATATATTATATATGTGCGGTATTTATTGGGAAGCGCTCAATATCATTGATACAGCTAACATACTTAGTTTGCTTTTGCAATACTCAAACTCTCTCTCTCCCTCCTCTCTCTCTTTCTCTCTCTCTTTCTCTCTCTCTCTATCTATCTATCTATCTATATATATATATATATATATATATATATATATTGACGTTTCATAATCTGGACAAGAGAAAATCGAGTAAAATTTCAGTTGATTTCAGATCATCTCTTTCTATTTATTTATCTATTTCAATAGTTAGTAACCTCTATATGCAATTACCATGAGGACGCCAGTCGGTCTGCACATTTGCTGTAATGGTTGCTGATCAGTTGTGCAACTGCACAAGCCAAGATAGAGATGTGCACAAAACCACAACGAATAAACTTAGATAAGGAGAGTAAAAAAAAGAAAAAAAAAAGAAAGGAAATGAAGAAGTGAAAAAAGAAAGAAAACTGAAAAGAAAAAATGAAAGTAAAAGAAATAATAAAAAACAAAAAAACAAAAAAAAGAGAAAATGTGGAAACAGAAGAAAAGAAAGCAATGAAAAAAGACTGAAAACAGACTAGAGAAAGACGTATTCGGAACATTTGCCGTAAACACTATTGCTGAAGGAAAACTCGCGCCAGGAATTTTCGCCGTAGGTAACTTCGCCGTATAGGATTTTCGTCGTAAGGCAATTTCGCCGCAATCTTTTTTTTCGATACCCTTATCATGAACGTCTCTTTTTCAATCAAATATTCGGAGTACCTTTTTAAAATACGCAACTAGTTTCCACAAATTTGGATGCATGTTAGTATACCTTCGCTTATTAAATGTTAAAATAGAAGTAACTACAGATATTTCGCATATTAAAAAAAAAAAAATGAGGCGAAATTGTCTTACGGCAAAAAGACCTAAGCTAGCTGCCGCGGAGGGCTCTTTAATTGGGCCTTCGGCTTGTTCAGGTGTTTGAGAGTCCCTAAGTCTTTGCATATTCTCAGCAATGGAAGCTCTCTTGTCTGCCGTTTGATCTGGGTTTTCATTTGCAACAGACTTTCCTTTCTCCTCTGCAGCTTTGGCCCTTTTGGTTTCAATCTTGTCCTCTGTTGACGTAGATTTCTTTTTGCGACGGATACTGCTGCCATATGTGATAGGAAACAATAAATTACAGAAGAACTCAAAATTGATCGCTGCATTTAAGTATTACATTAATATTTAAGCTTACCTTTTAAAAGTTCAACGAAAATTTTTCTGCCGCCACTTAATTTAAAGACAGTTTGATGTACGTAGGTCCTTACTTTCTGTAAAACAATTATTTTTATTTCCTGTATGACTTTCGCTGGATTTCGCAATTAATTTCGGTCATTTCCAAATTTATTTCCAAGTGATAAAAATTGTTATCGTATAAAAAAAATGTGCTGCAAAAATCAGGTAAATAAAACATTGCCGAAAAGAATTGCAGTAATGAAAATTTGGGAATCCAACATTTCACGATTGCAGATTCACATTCAGCCCGATTTACTCACGGAGTCGGACTGATTCCAAAATGGTATGATATGTTGAGCTACGGCCTCTCGGAGTAAAGTTGAAGAAGTATGACGAACTGACATTCGCATTTAGTTATATAGAAGAAGTGGATAGATTTTTAGCTATTGATCCGACAGATTTTATTACTTAAATTTTATAATTACTTTATTATTACTCTAGGAGCAAAGATGAAAAAGTGTGACACACTGACTTTCGAATTTATTTATATAGAAGAATTTAATAGATTTTTAGCTATTAATCCGACAGATTTTTTTACTTAAATTTTATTTTAATGGATACCGATATTTGATTAGAAGCTCCGTTTATTTACAAACTATATTTGTTCATTTTCGTTTACCTGCCTGAATATCCCAGAAATCCTATTAAATAAAAATATCGTGTACCCGACCGGATTTGAACCTGTGGTCCTTTTGTCAGGAGAAAGCATCGTTAGAGACGGAGGGGTGGTTCTTCTGACCGACCCGGCCACGAAGTGCATCGTTGATCAAGCAAAGTTGAATATTGCCTTATAAACGAAAACCTTTCTCAGACTCCTGAAACATTCATATCTGCTCACGTTCCTATAGTAACGTAAAGAAAGCAATTTCTAAAGAGGTGATGTTTTTTTTTATTTATTAACCCGGCAGATTTTATTATTTATACGTTGTTTTAGTGGATACCTATAGCTGAGTATACGCATTGTTTATTTATTAAACAGTATATTTCTTTATTTTCGTCTAGCGGCCTGAATATTCGAGAAATCTTATTAAATATGCGCTCTTCTACAAGATTCGCATACTGTTAGCGGAGAGCCACGTTTACACTGTAACACCAGCCAGAAAACTGGTGACCTCAAGTTCAATTTCGATCACGTGACCACAATATTAACAACTGAGCAGAAAGCAGTGTGACAAAGCTAAAGATATTTTATGACGACAGAGCGGATCATTTTTGACTTAACCTCGTATATAGAGAAAGCCAGAGATATATACAGGGAAGATAGATAGATAGATAGATAGATAGATAGATAGATAGTGAGACAGAGAGAGAAAGAAAGAAACAAAGAAAGATGAAAGAAAGAAACAAAAAAAGAAAAAAGTAATAGACTGAAAACTTATTTTTTGGTTCGTGAGCGACTGTGAGTTCGTTGTGATAGAATTTGTGTGTGTTTTTAGCTTTATTTTATTTTGCTCTTGGACTGTTGACGTTAGACTTGTGATTTTTGATTTCATAAAAGTAATCGTCTTTCCCACCTTGGGGATTTGCGAGATTGGATTTGAAATCTTAACCCACCTTAGTTGCCATGGACGTTTCTTAACAGATTCAATTTTATAGACAATAATAAATAGTAACCGTGATTTTATTAAGTTGACTTATAAATAATTTCCTTTTGAGGAACCAATTGCAAAGTCAATTGCATCATCCTAACGAAGCATCTTTTAATTATATCCTAACAGATGATAAAAAAAAACTGGTTAATTACGACAATGTTGAACGCAAAAAGAAAGTGGAATGATAAGAATAAATTTCTACAAACCCACCCCAAAATCTTAACTCAAATCTAATGTTGTGCATTTGGTGGGATCATTGATATATTATTATTTAGAGTTTTTAAAACACAATAAAAAAAAAATGGTTAATTCGCACTTAGTTCGCATTAAAAAAATCCAGAATACTTACATTTATGTTTAATTGTACATGTTTCATTCGAATCTGGCTTGATAAATTTGATAAAATCTACCATTTTCGAATTATCGACAGTGAAATTTGAGATTCAATCGCGTCGTTGGCGGCCGCCATTACTCGCGTTGTTTGCATACATTCGCTGCGGAAAGCTAAACGCGGAAGACTACGGAAAGCTAAACTCGAAACTGATCTTAATTTGTCGCAGTTACTGCACCCGAGAACTATTTACAGAGTTTGCGCAATGATACCTACGCTGATAGCTATTCTGCAACGAATGTATAAAAACAACGCCCGTAATGGCTGCTCGCGACGCGAATGAATCCAAACTTTCACCGTCGATAACTCCAAAACAGAAGATTTTATCAAATTCATCAAGCCAGATTCGAATGAAGCATGTACAAATGACACTTAAATGTAAGAATTCTGGAAATTTTTAATGCGAACTGAGTGCGGATGTTACACTGCAAATTAACAAAAAAAAAAAGAAGATATCAGAAGCACATTTAAAGAAAGAAAGAAAATAAAGTAGACGGTGTTTTTGTTTTTTTAAATAAAGGATGTTCCAATAACTTGGACCGATTTTAAATGTGAATTAAGTTTAAGCGTCATTTTTTTCTTCTTTCAAATTTAACAACTTACGTCTTTGGCAATCTCAACCATGGAAAGATTAACAATCATCAACGTGTTAAAGTATCAAAGTTTGTAAATTCAAACAAACTGATTCGGTGGCAGATGTGAAAACACTATTGCGTGCTCGTTTATACCGTCCAACTGAAAATATTGCTGCAGTGCACGATAATGTGGCTGAAAATCCAGACCCCACTATCCGTCATCGCAGGCAGGAATTGAACCTCTCTACAACAACATTACGTCGTTTCCAATTTCACTCTTGGTTGGTCGATTATGTTGACCTAAAAAATTGCAAAGTGTGCAAAATGCATATTTTCATTTTCGTAATAGGCTTCGATAATTTTAACACGTTGTTTGATTGTTAATCTTTCCAGGATTGAAATTGCCAAAGACTTAAATTGTTAAATTTAAAAGAAAAAGAGAAAAAAAATCATTAGACTTTAAACTTAATTCACATTTAAAATCGGTCCAAGTTATTGAAAAACCTTTTATTTCCCCTGAAAACTATTCGCTTTCATCAAAGACCAATTTTAGAATGGACAAAAAAGTTTCTGCTACTCTCACGATGACTTATTCACTTGAATAATGAGCTGATTTTTTTTTTATCAGTGCCTTTTCTTTTAAATAAAAACAAATATCAATGAGCGATTTGGCTTTTAAATTACAAAATGCAAGCTGTTAATTAAAGATTCCAAATTCAAACAAGTACAGAATGTTAAATATCAGAGAAACTTTATAACAAATGGTCCTCGGGTCACATCGTATGGCGTTTCGTTGTTACGGCGCCATCTCCCATAATATAATACGTCGTCACGCGGAGATGTATGAGGAAGATGGCGTTGTTTCTTCACCGGCTGTACGCCATAATAGATTGTGTTACATTCGCTATCTTTTGTTTGTGTCTTTAAAAAAAAAAAAAAAACTTTTTGCCCTTCATTATAGTTCCGAAGCGTAAGGCAGACTCACGGATGCTTATTTAGGTGAATCCCGACCTACGTCGAAAATCAGGTTACGTCTTGTCGTAGGAAAGGACCTCCGACGTAAGTCGAGTACCTCCTCTATCAAGAAACAAGAAAATCCCTTAGGAACAAAGTACAGAGTACTCAGATGCTATGTAATATTAATTCTCCTATGTGGCAATGGATGCTGGATAATTTCCTCACAGATAAAGAGAAGACTTGTGGCAAAATGATGCTGAGAATATTATAGACGGAGCATGTGAGCCAAAAGAATCTGTCTATATTTCTGAGATGAGGTATTATGAACACTATTTAGATTATTCGGACTATTGTCCTCATCTTTGTCGCCACATTTATTACAAAGTTTCGACCATTGTACGCTCCGGCCTTCTTCTGGTGGTTGGAATGTTGAACATTCCAAACACCTGAAGAAGGCCGGATCGTAATAATGTAAATTGGTGAGACCTCGTCTAGTACTGTCGAAACGTCTTATCTGAAAACCTGGGGAAAAGAAACTCAATTAGTTTAGTGGCTTATTTTTGTGTAGATATTAAACATTTTGTGAGATGGATAATTATACCATGCTGTTACGCGATTTAGACAATTTTGCTGTTACACCCGGGATATATAGTAGTATATATTAATAATATTATGGCGAATTGCCCAAACCCCAAAATAACTCCGTACATGTTTGATGAATGCGTTTAGCCTTTGAATGTTTTTAGAAAGGGTAATCTGGAAACTAAGAATATATTGCAAGGCTAATTCACGCACAAAATGTTTAATATCTGAAAAAAAAAAATAAACTAATTGATTTTCTTTTCCCCCGATTTTCAGATAAGATGTTTAGCCATCTTTATATCATTTGTCGTAAGACTCACAGAAAAGCATTTTAATCCAGTGGTTGTCTGATATCTAATAAGCGGGCTGCCTTTTGCTACGTGACAACATTTGTCTACCTCTAACGAAGATGGAACTTACTCTACAAGTCAGTAATGTGCCACGCTCGATTTTATTTATAGGCGGTATTTATTTACAAGTTAATAAATAAATAATTAATAAATAATATAGCTGTCACATAGGGTCATATGTCCCTGCTTTTGTGCTGGCTGATATAATCGAAAGGAGAATCACCAATATTATGGGTCTTGAGCTAGTGGCTCGGGTTCGGTCAAGTTCCCACTGCCGTAAAGTTACCTCTTTTCTGTAAATGCTTTCATGGCAACTGGTCCGATGAACTCTTCACTATGATACCTAGGTTTGTTTTGTTTTTTTAATTTAAGCACAGTACTAGGTGAGGTCTCACCAATTTACTGTTGAGTTGGCTAGATGTAACCGAAAGTTCTATGTCAGCAGTTTCTTTTCCTGCACTTCCCACTTGTTGAACTCTCTTCCGGCTCCATGCTTTCCAGCCAATTTTAATTTTCAAAAATGTAAATGCTATGTCAATCGCTATCTGCTGTCTTTCTGATGACACTTCCTTTGTTTCTTTTTTCTAATTGTTCTACACTCAGCAAAACCTTGTGTCTCAGTGGCTTTACTGTCTTCTTTGGGGCGAACTCGATTAAAATACATACATGCACGCTCGAACACAAACACACACACACACACACACACACACACAGAGGATGGGAGGGATTAATTGTCGTCTGAGTTACGCAAAAATCTTATTGACATCTCATTTTAACAGATACATTTACCAAAATTGCATAAAAATATTTTGAAATATTAAAAGAGTAAATTTATTTAATAAAATCGCCATTCTGTACAAACATAAATAGCAACAATTTAACTCTGCCACCCAGTATATATATATATATATATATATATATATATATATATATATATATATATATATATATTAAGAAATGGACAAGGTCCGACAATTTATTTATTAAAGACATTTTTTATGTTTAACGTTGTTATTTTATAGATACAAGTATTTAAGCAAATGCTCTGTTTATGATAAACAGTATTAAATAAGAATAGAACGAAATTTTCTATGAAAATTTTCATAGAATAGAACGAAAATTTATTAATGAAAATTTCATAAACAGACATTTGCTTAAATACTTGTATCTATAAAATAATTTGTGTTAAACATAAAATGTCTTTTAATATATATATATATATATATATATATATATATATATATATATATATATATATATATATATATATATATATATATATATATATATATATATTATATTTATATATATATATATATATATATATATATATATATATATATATATATTTACCTCTTATATATATATATATATATATATATATATATATATATATATGTTTTGAGCAATAAAAAATATTAAAAATTAAAATTTTCAGGCACACTGAGTTGTATATTAATATTTTTTCGCTTTATTATTTCAATTAGATACCTTGACTAGTTTCGATCAGCCTAGCCATCATCAGGAGAAAAAATTCTGCTTGTTAACAGCAGTGAACTACAGGAATTAATAACTTTATGAAGAAAATGAACTTCATCTGCAGTTTTCATTTGTTTTTTTTTAATTTTTTATCATAAATTTTGGTCAGCCTTTGAGTTGGTCAAACAATCTCTTTTAAGTTGTTATTTAAGATAAGAGCTGGATGGATCCATGCTGCTCTGGATTCCCTTGGTTATTTTGACAGTTTTATTGGTTCCTGGAAAGGGAATGTGTCTTTGTTAAGTGTGTGTTATATATTTCTTAGGGAGTAAGTTAGTATGAAGTGTGTAAGTGTATATATCAGCATGGGTGTGTGTGTGTGTGTGTGTGTGTGTGTGTGTGTGTGTATATAAATGTGAGGCCTCAACACATTCGCAAGCATGTCTGTCTTGTGTGGGTGAGAAATATGGGTAGGGCCTGATTCGTGCGGTCATATATTAATTCTATGTTGTTGAATTTGAGATTAGCCTGTCTGGATGTAATGTTTTGAGGCCCAGAATCCATCTGTGATCTTCTAGAATTTTTCTAATTTTATCTGCTCTGAACTTTTCTATTTTCTCAATTATAGTGAATTTGGCATGGCTTTTAAAATCGTGTCTTTGTAGGCTGAAGTGTTGTTCTACTGGTAATAATCTTTTGTGGGGAGCCGACTTAATTCGATTGCGATAATTATTAATTCTGTAGTGAAAGGGCCATTCAGATTTTCCTACATAATGTTTCTGGCATAGTGTGCATCCTAGGAGATAAATTATGTTATGATTTCTTCAGTTAGAGTCGTGGTAGATTTTGAAAGTAGATTTAGTGACTGAGCTAGTGAATAAATTCGTGTGTCTAATGTGGTTACAGCATAAGCTTCTTTTGTTTTACATAGTTGGACAATCATGTTGTTTTTGGTTTTGGTTAATTACGGATTATCTTATTCTTTGAAATGTGGTTACTACCTATAATTTCCTTTAGGTTCTTAGATCTATAATATTATAGAAGGTTCCTCAAACAATGTTTTAGGTCTGGTTTGAGATGTAGTATTTCACAGCGACTTTTGGTTATTTGGGATAGTGGAGGCAGAGTGGTTACTAGAGAGATGCGTCTGGATTTATCTTTAATCTTTTATATACATTAGAGAATGTTCTCTAGGTGTAGAAATTACTTATTTATTTGTTCGCTGATTAGGTGTTGTTTATATGTGAATTAATACTCGGGATTTTGAGTATGTTTATTTAGTTCTTCTTGGAACATATCTTTCTGAGCCTAAGTGCTTGTGAATAGGGAAGGTTCTCCTTGAGGTGTTTAGAGTGGGAAGACTTAAAGTGTTTGTACGTGATTAATTTTGTTTATTAGGTTTGTTGTGTCTCTGATGTAGGATATTACTTCCTTAGCTAGGGCTGTATGTAATGGGCTGTACATATATATATATATATATATATATATATATATATATATATATATATATATATATATATATATTAAGGAAGGGTTAATCAGGAAGCGGTCGAAACGGTGACGAGGTTAAATTGTACCTAAATTAAAAGTGGTCAAATGTAAAATAAAGATTTAGAGGTGCATTACCATGTTAACAGAACAAATACATTGTTCGCATTTTCAAATAACCATTCATCTTTGAAAAGCACTTCTTCTCGAGCCTTGAAGCAGACAGGCTACAGCAGCAGAAAACCACACTGCGTGCTACTCCTTGACTGTAAGATTAGGAAAAGGAGAGCATTAAGAAGAATTTTGTAAATATTTTTTTCAAGAATTAATAATGCCTACAAATAATAATAAATGTTTGCCTACCATTTCTTTCTTGAGTTACGATGGAAATCATTCAAACGAAATCGCTAAGGCCAATAACACGGCTGCATGTTGGTTAAATACGACATTCCATTCACTGAAAGATGTTAATGATCTGGTCAAAAACCAGGATGCTTGCCTGAGACTGAAAGTACAATAATGTTACTAATTTTAACAGCGGATTTTCTGGAGTATTTGCATTCCATTACTCTATCTGGGGGCTGATAAAGGGTAGTTTAAATTTCTCTCCAGACGCAATGGGTATTCTTAATTCTTCTATATGCCTTTCCTATTCCATACTTTGTAGCTTTTAGCAAAGTTTGTTCCTTTACTATCCCTGTCACACCCTCTTCTGTCATACAGTGATACAAGCAAGTCATTCACTGTTTCCCTCTTACCTTCAATATATCTTATGAGTGTCAAAATTTCCAAGCCATCTTTCCTCACTATGTTTCCCAGAAAGTTCAAGTCTCTTTTTGTTTCTATTTTCCTTAAAACTTCCATATTGTTCGAATGACCAGATTATGCTATTATTAACACGTTTGCTTAAGGCTGTGTTATGGTGTCCTCCCCTTTTTCATATAAGTGGACTCGACCAGAGTGTTACTTGGACTGCTGCCGTTAAATACCCAGAGTCAGTCAGTATACAGGGAAGACAGAGATTGTGATTGAGTTGGAGGTAGAGTGATAGTGTGAGGTAACCGCTTGTAGAAGTCAGTTACATGCACGTAGACTCTAAGGAAGACCTACTTCGAGACTGTATATATATATTATTATTTTTACAACTGACTGCGTTCCTGGATTTACTAACAGTATTACCCATTGTATCATTGTGGAAATGCATTTAATTTCTGATATTTAATTCTTGCGTTTGTCATTCATTGGAGACCGAATTTCATCTCGGAATCCACAACAGGCTGATATCACAATAATATTAATAATTTTAATAGGTGATTTTATAGATTATTTACATTACATCGTTATCTATATCTATAAAACAGAAGATGTCTGTGTGTGTTTGTTTATCTGTGTGTGTATGCTATTTATGCACGTATACATTTCTCGACTGATTTCGATGAAATTGTACACACATGTTGCAAATTTAGTAAATTATGTCAAGACCAACTTTCTAATCTCCAGTCCTACACCCTCACGGTTTGGCAGAAAAATCGATAAAACTGAAGGTACGACTTTTTGCAAAAACCATAACAAATTAACACAGGAACAATTTTTTTACTGGATAAGCTGATTTTTTTTTTTTTTTTACCCTTAATTCAAAATATCAGCTCATATTACGAAGTTTATGTCGAGAGTTTGATAGTTTTCTTGCGACATTGCCTTCACGTAAAAAAAAAAATGCAAAAAACTGTGAAAAAATCGGGTTTTTTCGTATTACTTAAAAAATAAAAACATGAGTAACTTTTTTCATCTTTTATCCATTATTCTTCAATCATATCGCAAAAAAAAAAAAAAATGTCATCATACAAAAAATGAGATCTGCTTTCGGTTCTGTTCGCTTTTCCCGCCTATAACGAAAAACTGTTTAAAAAAAAGCCCATTTTTCGACTATAACTCCCTAGTTTTTCATTGCATTCCAAATTTGCCATGTAAATTACATATGATAGAGAAATTGTCTTGCGTGAATTTTTTGGTTTAGATTATTTCAGTTAAGTGGACAAAATCTGCGACAAACTAGGTCCAAAATTGGCTTGTGTCATTTAACCAATAGTTTTTTTCATATGATTCCATCTTAAGTTGGTATTCGAACAACTTTGATGCAATGAATGTTTGAGAAGGCTTATTGAAATGTTAAAAGGGAAAAAACCCCAACGAACCTATTATTACCCCCAGCTTTACAGTAAATGTGCGAAGAAAGAGGGTAGGGGCATTTATGCATTTGCAGTTGGATCAAGCTTTGACACTTCATCCTTGTTTTTGTTTGATTATTAGATTTCTGAACAATGCCATACTATTTGAAAGTTATTACGGCCATAGGAAATTTACTGAATATCTAAAACATTGAAACAATTTAACCCCGAGCAACGACCACACAAGAAGTTATTATCGATGGAATTCCTTTAAGATCAAACACTTCCGGAGAACATACTGTAAAAAAGATGATTTTGCGCCGTTTAAGACAACGATTATATATATATATATATATACATAGTAACCCACAGACAGACTGTTTTGCTGCATCACAGATCATCAATGTGGCTAGTCACTTGATTGCTTCGAGCCAGGTTCGAAACCGAACCAATTTGACATTAGTCGGAGACTCTCACCTTAGACCATCAGTTCACGCAGCGGAGAAAGAGAATTTTTAACGCCTTATATACGGGACATAAGCATTACCGAGTAAAAGAGTGCTCAATTCATAGCGAAAAGCTTTTAGTGTTAATAGCAGCAGCCGAGAAAGTCTTTACTTGAATATTTGTATCTATAAAAATAACGTATAAACAAAAAAATATATTAAAATAATTGTCGGACTTAGTACATTTCATAAGATACATACATATATTTTTAAGTTTAACCTGATAGGAGATTCTTTTTTTATATGTTTCCCTGATCAAACTTCATTAGAGAGATGGATTATATTTCAACCAAATGGTGAGACAGATCGTCACTCTCGTCAGGGATATGAAGGCGGGATTTTTTTCCTTTAACTATATCATTTATTTGTTGTTGTTTTTTTTTTTATTAGAATTTATTAATTTCAACTCAGTTTTCATTTATATATTCATTAGTTTTAATATTTTTCGTACCCTTTCGACAGTGTGATTGGCTGAAAAAGGGCCGGTAGTTTATTAACCGCAAAACATGGCAATTTAAATGCATTTTCATCCGTGTCAATTATCTTCATATTTTTTTTAACAAAACGGCAGTTCAAAATTGTAAAGACGAAGGATTTGGTGACATATCGCCATATTCATTGTACTGTCTAATTCCACGTTTATTTTATGTTCGTATATTCTCTTGTTTAAGCTAGCACCCAATTACGGTCCTAGCTATTACCAAATAGTGAACACCAACACAAAAACCAACAGTACATTTTCATAATGTACACTGCGTGCCAAATTATTATCGAGATATCTTTTTTTCTAATATTTCAAAAACCGTCCAATTAATTCACACAAAATTTTTACACAATATTGGCAACACTGACCTGCGCAATTACTGAAATTTTCGACCTGATCTGCGCAATGTAAACAAACTGGCGCCATATTTGTTATCAGCACGGTGATAATAATTTGGCACGCAGTGTAATTACTAGCAATGCATTGTATAGAAAAATTACCAAGAATAAAATACGAAAAAAAACGTCTAAAAACTATATTAATATAATAAAATTACCAGCAATATATATTTATAAAAAAATACCAATAATACATTTTTATATTGATTTGTTCTTACGGTTTGTCAACCTTTTTGAGGTTATTTAAAGCCGAAACGCATTTTTGGACTGATAGAATGTTTTGGCGATATTAATGATTTTCCGATATAAGTATTACTATTTAACCCATAGATGGAAGGAGAAGACGTGGATTCATACCTTTCCCAATGGGAAGTAAGTGAATATGACGAACCTGTCTGAAATTGGAACTTGTCTCGCCAATTTCTCATTTCGAGCCATTATCTCATTACACCATCCGTACATCCAATCTTACAGCACCTGGTATTCACCAGCGGTCCCCCATCTACGTACTGTCCAGGTTCAACGTTGATTAACTCCGGTGATCGGACGAAAACCTGTGTCTCAACGTGATATTGCCGTAAGCCTAGATATCTTTTTAATTACCAACAATACATTTTATCATCTACAAACGATATAACTAAAAAAAAATACGGTTGCTCTCAAAGTATAAATTTAGGTACAATAAATCTGTAATTGAAGACATGCAAATGCGTTCAAAAAACATTTAGCTGAAGCTATAAAACTGCGTACAAAATATTTAGATTTCGATATTAGTTAAGCCATAGAGGTCAACATGCCGCTAAACGAATTCAACCAAGCAATCATTCTTAAATTTTGTAACTGTTCATTGAAGGTAACATTTTCAGCATTTCAGACAATTGGCAATTTTTACTAAGGAAGATCATACGTGTAAAAAAAATTTGTTTTAGTAAGACGAATTTTAAATTTTGAATTCTTATACTGATGAATTTCTGGAGGCAGTGTTTCTATTCTCTTTGGTAGACACCTGTATCTGATCTAAAGTTACTTGTTTTATGTTTCAGAAGATCGTGATCGTTTTTATATTGGTGTTAGCATATTATTTACATTATTCGGACTATTGTCATATTTATTACAACGTTTCGGCCGTTGTACGCTCCGGCCTTCTTCAGATGGTTGGAATGTCGAACTGAACCCTTTATTTCGTTCACTGGGGTAGACTGTTGTAGTTCCACGTGCCATGCTTAATGGATGTCAGTTATCGCCTGTTAATTTCCCTCTGAAAGTTCTCCACTGCCGAAACGTTGTAATAAATATGGCGACAAAGATGAAGACAATAGTCCGAATAATGTAAATAATGTACATAATACCTCATCTCAGAAATATAGACAGATATTGGGATTAGCATGCAGCGAGGAAATGGAGTAATCATTGATCCAGAACTCCAACAATTTACATACAATTAATGTGGCAGTGTATCTGTCTTCAATACTGGTCTCGTTAGACGCAAGAAGATTCATATAGGAAGACTTTTGACATTTAAAAGTACGATCAGTAAACTCTGGAAATAATATTACAAGATGGTGTCTTAGAATGACTACAAAAACCGCTCCGTTTTATACCGGCGAAATGAAAACTCACAATGAATCTGAACATACTTTACAAAACAAGCCAGGCACTGTACAGAACAAGTTCGTTTTCCACGTTTTCTGCAATAAGTTTTGCAAGTCACTTGGTGACTTCAATATCCATTGCCGTTCTCACGAGAATTAAAAACTTTGATCATACTTGTCAGCGATGGTCATACTCTTTTAATGAGTGGACATTCATGTATTTATTTAAATTGGAATATGTAAAAACCTGATGTAAGCTGTTTTGTTACAAATACCCCATTTTACAAGAACATCATTAGAACATGTCTTAGTAAGCCAGATGAACAACTTATGGCAAACAAAACTGTAAAGAAAAGACCTGTTTAGCAGCAAGTTTATTGGAAGCCAAAGGGTAATATTAGAAAAAATATATATACGCACTTGAGACTAGTTTTATTGGAATAATAAAATATATAAATAAATAAAAAGCTAGACAAAGAAAAAATATTATAAAGGGAGCCTAACGCTGAACCTCACTGGGGATTGCACGTTGAAATGAGTAAAGTTACTTGTTTTATGTTTCAGAAGTTTGTGATCATTGGGATTAGGGAATATATGGATATAATAATAATAATAATAATAATAATAATAATGATAATAATAATGATGATGATAATATTAATAATAATAATGACAATAATAATAATGATGATGATGATAATAATAATAGTAGTAATAATAATAATAATGCTTATAATAATAATGATGATAATAATAATAATAATAATGATGATAATAATAATGATGATAATTGAAATAGAAAAATGGAAATTGAAAACAAGAATAATACCAGTGGTAATGACTTGGAATTATAAAAAATGGAACAAAACAACACATTGAAAATGAAACCCCAGCTTAAGAGACATACAGAAAATTGTCTTATTAAAAACAGCACACACACTAAGGAGAACTTTGTCTATGTAACGCTAGCAACTTCATCGGAGATAAAAAAAAAAATAACATGAATGTAATATAACAACAACCACGACCTGCCTTAGGTCTTTCCGCAGACTTGGTAAGTGTGTCCATAGCAGAAATCGAATGATGATGATGATAATAATAATAATGATAATAATAATAATGATAAGAATAATAATGATGATGATAATAATAATAATAATGATAATAATAATGATGATAATAATAATAAATGATAATAATAATAATAATGATTATAATAACGATGCTGATGATGATAATAATAATAATGATGATAATAATAATGATGATGACAATAATAATAATGATAATAATAATAATGATGATTAATAATAATAATAATAATAATAATAATGATAATAATAATAATGATGATGATAATAATAATAATGATTATAATAATGATAATAATAATAATAATGATAATAATAATGTGGCATATGGGAACATCAACAATCCCTGTTGTAGTTGAAGCCCTAGGACTGGTTGGAAAAGATTGCAGTAGACTAATTGAAGGGATTCCTGGAAGTCCATGCCTCAAGGAGATACAAAAATTGTTCTGACAAGTACAGCCCACACCTTACGAAGGGCTTTATCTAGGTAATTTAATTTTTTTTTTTTTTTTTTTTTGTCAGTGGAAAGTGTCATGACGCCATTTCTAACCTTAGGTCCCCAAGGGACCCAGAAAGAAATGTGTAAACGCCAGAAATCAAAGAAAATAAAAATAATAATAATAATAATAATAATAATGATTCCTAGTGTCAAAAGGACGGTATTATTTTAACTACGTTCACTGTTTTCTTTTTTGTTTTTTTTAAATAAACGATGATTAGAATTGGAATAAAATTTAAACACATGAATATATTTTATTTTTGGTCTTGAGAATTTACAACAAAGAATTGAACATTATTTATTCGCTTGTTTCGTTACAAGAATAATTTTATATTTACAACATTCTAAAAACTTATACAATTAGAAATAATGCAGGTACAATATTTATCATTTAGCAATTTATAAAAAACAAAAAATAAATGTGAAACTCATTTTGATCCATAAAATGATAAATATTTATTAAATGATTAACATATGTGAACCAACTATAAGGAAATCCTAAACTCTGAACAAAGGGTACACCTCTACTTCTGTTCAAAAGATCGGGGAGGAGAACGAACCGGGCGATAGACGAACCTATCTACTCCTATTGAGGAAAAAGTAAATAAACATCGAATGAAAAGTAAATAAACAGCCATGGTTTAGGCAGAGTTCAGTTAGTCTTTAGCAGGAGCCAGAAACCTAATACTAAACACTAAACAAGGATTAAACTGCAACCATGGAGGAGCATGAACCGGGCGATGGATAAAGCTTCTCTACTCCTACTGAATAAAGACTAAATAAATAAATGTCAGTCTTTTGACGAGGACGTTAGAAGTATAGAGTTGAAGTAGACTTTAAACAATTGGGAGGATTGCTGTTAAAATATTCTACTGACAACTGAATTCAGTTAAAGGCAGGCTATCTACCGAATTTATTCTTGTAAAAGACTTCTTTTTTTTTGTTTGTTTTGTTTTCAGATTTTTGATCCTAAAATGTTAATGTATACACGAGAAATATTTTTTTTCCCCAGCCACGGGCCTGGTTGTATTTAGAAGAGGAAGAGAAGGCGTGAAGTAACAGAAATGGTGTCCTACAGAAGGATGTTGAGAATATCGTGGACGCAGCGTCTAAGCAACGAAGAAGATTGAAAGAAAAATGGAAACGAAATGAACAATTATACTAAAAACTAGAAAGAGACAGCTGAAATTTAGAGGAGATAGATAGATAGATAGATAGATAGATAGATAGATAGATAGATAGATAGATAGATAGATGGTGGAAAGACTGAGATAGACATGGACTGACTGAGATAGATAGATAGATAGATAGATAGATAGATATGAACATACTGTGATAGATATGAACAGACTGAGATAGATAGATCGATAGATGATGGAAAGACTGAGATAGACATGAACTGACTGAGATAGATAGATAGATAGATAGATAGATAGATAGATAGATAGATAGATAGATAATGAACAGATAGATAGATAGATAGATAGATAGATATGAACATACTGTGATAGACATGAACAGACATAGATAGATAGATAGATAGATAGATAGATAGATAATGAAAAGATTGAGATAGATAGATAGATAATGAAAAGATTGAGATAGATAGATAGATATGAACAGAGATACATATTAACAAACCAATTTTGATAGAGATGAACAGACTAAGATAGATAGATAGATAGATAGATAGATATGAACAAACTGAGATAGATATGAACATAGATAGATAGATAGATAGATAGATAGATAGATAGATAATGAATGGCTGACAAATAGAGATGAAAAATGGTTTGAGATGACAGAACAATGAAAAATAATTGAAAAATTTGACAAGAGAAGAGCATAAAAATAGTGGCCAACATTGACAAACATTCCCGCAGTAAGACGTGTCAAAAGGACGATTTTTACCATGACACCGCTTTTTAAGCTACTCTTCGGCAATGTTTAATGTCTTTAAAAGCGATCGTTATAATTGTAATAAATCCTAAATATATGAAAGTGAATTTATACATTTTCTTTGTTCATCAGAATTGATAAGAAAAATAATAAACGCTATTTATTTATTTATTGGATTGTTTATTTACACTATTTATGATATTGAAATGATTGGCAAAACATCAACTAATTGCCAATTGATTTAAACTTTATAAAATAGCAAATAATAAGGACTTCCATATAGTTGCATCACATATTTTAATTTAGTAAATGTTTATAAACATATAAATAAAAACATGTTTTCATATTTATTTCTTTATAAATTAGTAAACAATAAATATTGCCGTTTATATCTCTGAGATGAGGTATTATGATTACTTACATTAAAAGTAAAGCGTAGTGAAAAATGACTGTTTTCCAATCACATGAGGAAGACCGGAGCGCACAACGGTCGAAACGTTGTGAATATGACAATGAAGGTGAAAATATCAGTCCAAATAATGTAACTAATACAAATAATAAATAATGTACTGCATTAGTTATTAATTATTTATTGTTGTAAATAAACTATCTAATAATAGTGTTTAACATCTTTGTCGTCAGTTCTCAAGAACAACAACAACACAAAATGCATAAATTTAATTTAATTATATATCCAGGTTTTATTAGTTTTAATCAACGCTTTTAAAAACAATAAACATTGTCGAAGAGTGAAGATAGTAAAAAAAAAGAGGTGTCATTCGAAAACCGCCATTTTTACACTATGTTTTAATGCAAGTACGTTTGTTCATGATTGCTAAATAACTTTAGGAAAATGACGAATATCAAAAAAAAAAGAAACAAAGAAAAGCAAAATGTTAAATGTTATAAGCAAGAAAAACGTTTTGACCAACAAAAATTATTTATAGGAGCAGGTGTCACAAATTTAAAGAGAGAGAAAAAAATGGCAGAATATTTCGAACTATCATCAAAGACGCTGAAGTAATCAAACTACTTTCCTATAAGTAAGCATAACAAGGATTTCTATAATTTAGACAAAGAAGGGCATAAAAACTTATGACTCAATAATAAAATTGTGTGATGAATACAGAGCTGCATTGTTTGGTCATAATGGAGAGGTTAGATGCTGAATCCATCAAGCAAATAGCCAAGCAATACGATTTACAAGTTAACAGAGAAAGGGGTTGTAATTGATTTGCTATCAGTTTCATCATTATCTATTTCTCTATCTATCATTTAATCTCAAGCTGTGCATATCTATCTATCTATCTATCTATCTATCTATCTATCTATCTATCTATCTATCTATCATTCTGTACATATCTATCTATCTATCTATCAATCATTCTGTACATATCTATCTATCTATCTATCTCAAGCTGTGCATATCTAAAAGTTTCTTCATTATTTATCTCTTTATCTATCTATGTCATTCTGCAGATATATATCTATGTATCTGGTTCATCATAATCTAGCAGCTTTTTCATTATCTATCTAGCAGTTTGCCCATTATCTATGTCATGCCGTTCATATGTAATCTATCTATCTATCTATCTATCTATCTATCTATCTATCTATCTATCTATCTATCTATCTAACTAACTAACTAACTAACACTCTCTCCATTATCTATCTATGTGCTCATATCTATCTATCTATCTATCTATCTATCTATCTATCTATCTATCTATCTATATATCAGTCTTTCCATTATTTATTCTCGTTTTGTTCATATCTAGCTAGCAACCTATATATCTATCTCAAGCTCTGTATATGTATCGTTATTTACATCTATCTCAACCTCTGCAGATTTATCTCATTTCCATCTATCATCCATCCATCTATCATCCATCCATCCATCTATCTATGTCATCTCACATTCATCCATCCATCTATCTATCTATCCATCCATTCTGTACATATCTATCCATCCATCCATCCATCCATCCATCTATCTATCCATCCATCTCACATATCCATCCATCCATCCATCCATCCATCCATCCATCCTATCCATGTCATTTCTGCACACATCCATCCATCCATCCATCCATCCATCCATCCATCCATCCATCCTATCTACACA